CACCTTCTCACCAAGCTGCTTGGCAATGGTCTTGTAGCCCATTCCAGCCTTGTGTAGGTCTACAATCTTGTCCCTAACATCCTTGGAGAGCTCTTTGGTCTTGGCCATGGTGGAGAGTTTGGAATCTGATTGATTGCTTCTGTGGACAGGTGTCTTTTATACAGGTAACGAGCTGAGATTAAGACAACTGGGAGCCAGAAATCTTTCTGATTGAGAGGGGGTCAAATACTTATTTCCCTCATTAAAATGCAAATCAATTTATAACATTTTGACATGCGTTTTCCTGGATTTTTGTTGTTGTTATTCTGTCTCTCACTGTTCAAATAAACCTACCATTAAAATTATAGACTGATCATTTATTTGTCAGTGGGCAAACGTACAAAAATCAGTAGGGGATCAAATACTTTTTCCCCTCGCTGTACGTCGCCCCGAGGTAGGATTAAGCGGTCGTACGGCTGCCTCGGCGTAGCGTCACGCGGGGCGGGATCCTCCCGGGGGCTTCTCGACGCTACCCCCCCACGCACCTCGGACTTTGTCCGGTCTGCGTGCGTGTCTCGCGTGTCGGCGCCGCGCTGTGCTTCACCTCCTGTATTACATATCTTTTATTATAACGCGATCTTTCCATCGCGCGGTGTTCCCGAGGAGCGCGACTACCGCCGCGTTGTAGGAGAACAGGACTGTGCAGTACGTGGATATCAATTTGCGGGTCACCGGCAGCGAGCGGTTGGCTATTTTTACGCCGGGGGTTCCTCGATCCACGCTTTTAACACTGCTTGCCGGGCAAACATTGCTCGGATAGCACCGACGGTGAAATTTCACCGTCGGTAAAACGACACCGCCGTGCGTGGGCCCTCCGCTCGAGTGGCCGGGGAGAAGGGGAGAAGCGTTTCGCGAGCTGGGTCACTTCGTCGCGCCCGCGGCGGTTCGCCGAGCGGGCCTCGTCGGATCTCTTGAAGCGAAGCGGGTTTTTTTTTTTTGAGCCAGGAGTAATACTCAGAGTGGGCCGCCGCCATGCCTAACCAGGTGCTACAGGCTGTTGCAGGGCCACGCCGCGGGCTGCACAGGGCCAGTGCGGTAAAAATCCTCCGTGGCACCTGCGTGCAATTAAGGCCCCCACGTCTTATGCCGACTGCCTTTTTGCCGATGTAATTCCAAGCATGCGCTCGCTCGACGCTTCTCCGCACAGTTTTGGGGTTTTGTACTCCTCTTCGTTCTGTCTGACGCATCATCAGATGGAGAGGAAAGAAAAGCCACACGCACGAGGCAAGTTGGTGTGCAGGGCATATTCCTTCAAGTGTGTTTTACAGTAAACGGCCCGCCAAGGCCGCTCTGAACTATTTTATTTTGAAACATTTATTTTGTATCTTTACTAGGTAAGGCGGCCCACTGAGCTATTCATCTCTTTTTTCAGAAGCGACCTGGTCATCACAGATGATTGCTGATCAAAGTGGCTCATCACCCTGAAATTTGTAACGGCCAAATAGTCTGAACGCGTGATGTTGATTCTAAATGTTTGTGGGGGGGGGGGGGAAACCGGGGGGACCGGAGAAACCACGGCGAGACCGAGGCACGCAAACTACAAATACACAGCAGGCATCGTAAGGGTCGGGATCGAGCCCACGACCTCCTGTGTACTAGGCGAGGTCGTTAACATCTCGCCACCGTGGCACCCTAAGACGCTGTGACCTTGCGGAATGAAAGTCTGCCCGCAACACGTGATTAGGCAGTGGGTTCACGGGGGGGTGGGGGGGGATTGGGGTGGCTGGGGGTTTCACGCTTATCTCTGATCCACGTTGAGCCACCTCACCGTGCGCGCGCGCGAGCAAAGCTGACCCAGCCACACGGCGTCCGCAGCTGAGTTTTCGTTGGCATTGGCAAGAGACCACTTGAGCTCTTTGGTCCGTGGGCCAGAGCCGATATTGGATCGCCTCTAAGCCAGCAACGCTTCCATTGAGTGCCGATTTAAACATCGCCCGCGAGCACGCGTTGCCCCAATAGCCGGATCGCCCTCCAATTCTTATCGCACGTAGTTCTCGCGGTTTTTTTTTGCCACGCAGAGAAATTGGGAACAAACCAGCGCTATTTCGCATGACAAGGGAAATGTGTGGTCTGTGTTTTTTTGGGACTTTTAGGGGTCCCGAGTGCTGAACTGGAACCTGCTTGAGTCCTGGTTTCAGCCGCCTGTTGACTAAACTTGATTCGCAAGTGTACAGTGGTGAGTTTAGCGGTCACAGTCCAGCCTCCAATGTGCCTGTCGTTTCACTTCGTGGTGTCCGACGTTCCGCCCCACGTGCTGGGAGCTTCTTCGGGAAATGCAGCACCATTGCAACAAAGCTACCCGACGGCACGGAGAGGGAAGTGCGATTCTTCGGTCTGACGGGGGTGCGCGGAAGATCCCGCTGGGTTTGAGCTTCCGCGAAGCTCGTGGTGCACCCTAAACCGCATCCACTGCACAAACCATGGCAGTAGATGCCCTGGTGCACAAATGGAACATTACAAACAAACTCCCCAGTAGTAGTGCACGACTGTGGCCATCCAGAAGAAGACAGTACAACGTACCACGACGCCCGATCTTCAAATGCGAAGGAGACATCGCGGGCGGTGATGCACTCCGCTGTTCCCGACGTGGTCGTTGTCTGGCTTGACCACCTGAATTGTGAAATCGTAGTTTGTCGCTCTGCCTCCGCATCAGCAGCCGTACGAAAAGGAGGCACAGCGTCCGTCACGAAGGTGCCATGCCACCTCCGCTTCAAAATGACGTGACCCACGACTGCCACGAGGTGCAGTCGGCTGTTTTGTCTTTTTGTCAGAAGAGAAGGAAAAAAAGCCGAAGGTCGAAACCGGCGTCGACGCTTGCGTGAGCAGACCAAACAAAAGCTTCCTACCCCCCAGGTGGCTCAAGGGGTCCGTGTTCAGGGGGGGCTCCCCCCCCCCCCCCCACCCAAAGGTCCCCTCGCTGACACTGCCGAGGGCTGGCTCGCGTGTAAGCGGCAACACCGCACGTTCAGGCCGCGTGCCACCCACTGTCCCCGCGCGGGTAAATGTTTAATTTTTGTCGTTGTTGCTGCAGGGTTCAAAGGCCTCCCTCGTGATGGGTGTCGTTGCCACGTACGTTGGGCACGAGAGGCTGCGCTGGTGGGAGGGGGTGGTGGGGGGTGGGGGATGGGGGTCGGGGGTGGGGGGTCGGGGGTGGGCGGTGGTGGGTGGGTTGGGGTGGTTACCTGCTGTGACCTTGTGACCTCTAGACTACAATCGCTGACAGCGCCCAGCATCCGTGACGAGCAATATCAGAACCAGTCCTTGCCCTCCTCTCCCGCCTCATTCGTCAGCACGCAACGACCAGCATGGTGAAGTATGGCCAAGAAATCCCAAATGGCCGACATGTTGTTGGGAGTCCTCTTCATCCATTGGTGGATCGACATTGGCAAGAATATATTTTAACCCCCACAACGTCCACGACACAATGGGTTCGTGAACCCACTTGCACATACCACCGCCACCTCCTGGCCAAAAACTTTGCGCGGCATCCCACGCGGGTGGGTTCGGGAGGTTCGCGGATCTCCGCGCGATCCACCAACCCTGGCCTCCGAAAGCCACCGCATCTCGCGCTAGCGGCTGCTTGTGCGACGGGTGGCGGCCACTTCCTCCGACCCCCCCCCCCTCTGCCCCTTGGCGTCGCCGTAGCCCGCGGTATACGCCGTCCCTTTAAAAAAAATCTTTCACCGCCACGAAGCCAGCTGGCCACGTGAGCCGTTTAGCGCGATGCAACGCGGGTTATGCAAGCGTGTTGTGCGTCCTTCCGCCCCCCCCCCCATAACCCACCAACCCACAGCCCCTACAATAAAGCGCTGCGGTTAAGCCGACCGCCTGCTGACTGCTGTTGCTGGTCAAGGCAGATCGGTTTGCACTGTACGGGTTTTTGCCGAATCTGCAGTCTCTGCGCCGCAGTGGGGGGTGGTCTTTGGGAATGTGGATTCGCACGCGCAAGTTAACAGCGCTCCGTGGTTCTCGGGCGTGGACTCGCGCGCGATTCTGAGCCTCGCACAGAGAGCCCCGTGGACTTGCGTAGATCCTGCGGCGGTCGTACACCCACCTCCACCAATCAGTAATGTGTGTCACGTGAAGGGTTCGCTTATTACTTTAGCATACCGGTTGTGTGTGAGAGCAAAGTCACGGTGGCCAGATGTTCACTGCCGCGCCTGGTTTCAGGAGGTCGTCGGTTCGATGCCGACCCCCGACGCCTGCTGATGGATATTTGGAGTTTGTGTCTCTCTCCCCGTAGTGGATATTTGGAGTTTGTGTCTCTCTCCCCGTGGTGGATATTTGGAGTTTGTGTCTCTCTCCCCGTGGTGGATATTTGGAGTTTGTGTGTCTCTCTCCCCGTGGTGGATATTTGGAGTTTGTGTCTCTCTCTCCCCGTGGTGGATATTTGGAGTTTGTGTGTCTCTCCCCGTGGTGGATATTTGGAGTTTGTGTGTCTCTCCCCGTGGTGGATATTTGGAGTTTGTGTGTCTCTCTCCCCGTGGTGGATATTTGGAGTTTGTGTCTCTCTCCCCGTGGTGGATATTTGGAGTTTGTGCGTCTCTCTCCCCGTGGTGGATATTTGGAGTTTGTGTCTCTCTCTCCCCGTGGTGGATATTTGGAGTTTGTGTCTCTCTCTCCCCGTGGTGGATATTTGGAGTTTGTGTCTCTCTCCCCGTGGTGGATATTTGGAGTTTGTGTGTCTCTCTCCCCGTGGTGGATATTTGGAGTTTGTGTGTCTCTCTCCCCGTGGTGGATATTTGGAGTTTGTGTGTCTCTCTCCCCGTGGATTTTTCTCCGGGTCCTCCGGTTTTTCCCCCTCCACGTTTAGAAACATGCATTTCGAGTGTGTGGCTTCTATGAATGTCCACGTGATAAGCCACTTCGTTGAGCTATCGTTTGTGGCCAGGTCGCTTATGAAAAAGAACGCTATAGCTCGGTGGGCCTTAGCTGGTAAAAGAAGTCTTTAGTTTAATGTTGAGGGTAGGGATCTCATGTTCACACCATGTGGTTGTAATACCCCCTCCTCACATGCAAAGTGCGTCTTGAGGCTGAGAGAATCGCCTCTGAATGAAAGTGATCGCAGACCAACCAAGACATTCAATCGCGATACACCTTGGGCAACATGCACCGGGCACAAGAATACAGGAAGAGTTAATTCACGATATGCTTTTTTGGGTTCCAGGAAGTCGGAACGTTCTGATTTCCCAGATCTCGTCCTGACGACGCTTTTCACGGTGCCAAGAGATTTGTCACGTGCCCTGACTGCTGCTAGGTCTGGCTGTGAGAATTATTCTCCTACGACTCCATCGGGTGAGCGGGCCGGAACGATAACCATCGCCGCGTTGTTAAACGCCCGCGCGCCGCGGGGCAGTTTCATTCGCTTGGCCGTGTCGGGCGGTGGACGGTTTGGTGAGGTAGAGACGGGCGAACTTCAAACATGCAGGCGTCGGGGTTCGAACCCACGGACCTCCCTTACCACCCAGGTGAATCTCCACTACTCGTGACGGCGGTGGCTGCGTTTCTAACCACCCGCCGCGCGTGTCTCTCCGCAGGGTTCGCCGCGGTCATTGCCGTATACCTCGCCGTCGGCTACGGAGCGTCGCTGCTGTGCAACCTCGTGGGATTCTGCTACCCGGCCTACCGATCGTGAGTCCGCGCGGTCGCGTCGCCATCCTCGGGGCCACAGCCAGTCCGTGAGCAGCGGGCGGGCGGGGGGGGTGGGTCACTCCGCACGGTGTCCAACAAACGCGCACGCAAGGCACGGACGCTTGGCCTGCTTGACGCGCAGGCTTACGTCACCAAATATTCGCCGTGAAGGTTTTTTCGGGGTTGGATCGCGCTTAGTGCAAATGTGTTGCGCTCGCGCGAGCCGACCCAAAAAAACCTTGATTGCGAGCGGCGGCCGAGTGACGCCTGCTTGTTTGCGGCAGAGGTACGCGTTCTGCAGCGGACGCGGCTAGGCGCAAGCCGTCGGGCGTGTGTCGCCGGTGGCCGTCCCGACGCATCGCGTGTCCTCTGGGTGAGGTCGTGCAGACGTCAATCGGCTACCACTGCGGGTGCCGTGGGATGGCCTGCAAGTAACACAAAGGTATACGTTTGTAGCCCTGTCGCTAGTTTCGAACGGCGTACGAGAAAATAAGAATCCTCTGGCGCATGACGGTCGCGCCAAGGCGACGCAGTCTCCTCTCGTCGTCGTGCCGATTCCTCGTACCGATTAGAAATCGCTCCCATCTCCACGGTGGACGCCTTCTTGGGGCGCGTTCCCTTCATTGGCTGCCACTCCTGCGCTGGTCTCGACCGCCGGCCGTCACCGTCCCTTCCAGCCAAGTGTCCTTACCCCCGAGTCCACTTCCTTCTTTTCAAAAGATGAGTGACATAAAAACAACAAACCCCATCTCATCTTCCGATGACGGCGCAGAATTGGAGAAGCCTTATCAGTGACCTGTTGAGTAAAATATATTCTGTTTTGTAACGTCGGCATTCACACTCATTCTGGCATTCGCCCGATGATGCTGGTTGTGATCGCCAGCCAAACATCGTGCTCACAATTTAAATTAAACTAATCTTTTTTTTATATTTTACCAGGTAAGGCCCACTGAGCTGTACAGCTCTTTTTTTCAGAAGAGACCTGGCCACGACGGCTCAATGAAATGGCTTGGGAGAGAGACACTCAATCGCCAAATATACAGGCGTCGGGGTCTGGACCGAACCCACGACTTCCCGCCACCGTGGGTTCGCTCTCCAACACACAAACCCCAGTGTGCTAAGGTGGTGACTAATTGGCACCTGCTGTTCACAAAACAAACTCATTGGCGGAGCTGCGTGTACGACACGCAGCTGTCAACCCATACGGTTTGCCCCGTATGGGTTGACAGCGTACAGCCGTTTCAATACGGGCACAAAAGGAAATAATGTCTGTTTGTGTTTATCCCTTGTGATGGGGCTTTGCAAGATGAACGTTGAGATTTTATAAGGGCACGGGGTGACCGATAAGGTCTGAATTGGTCTGTAATCGGGCAGGGCACTGATAAGGGCTTGACAGCGATGGCAACACATGTATATTTACACGACCGAACACAGATTCTGCCGCTCGTGAGATTCGCATCGAGTTGCGCGTGTACACATGTAATAATCCATAATACTCATAATACATACCGCGTAAATATATAAATGTGTCATTAAACCAGCAACCACCCGTCACGGCCAACTGGTAAGGGTCGTCATGTAAACGTGCCAATTCGTGACTAGTACGGCACACCGGTGTGTTGGAGAGCAAAGCCACAACATTTACAATCTGAGTTCGACGTTTCGGCAACAATTACGACCGGCATCATCAGGCGACGGCCAGATTTGTGGAGAAATCCTCCAGTTTCGTTCCTTAAAATACGCGGGGTAGATGTGACGGCGTCACTTGTGAGCCTTGCTTAAGCAAATTCGGGAGGCGGGGCGGGGGGGAATAATGAATATGTGTATAAATCTCAACGGCTATCCATTATGGATGATATCGGCCGTCGCGAAAGCCTATGCGTCAAACAAAGGTAACATTTTTACACTCCGTGAAGAGTCGCGGGCACAAACACGAGCGGACAGCTGGGGACGGGACGTGCGAGACTGGCGGGGCGAGCGCGGTGGGAGTGAATGAATACAAGTAAAAAATAGAACGTGATGGCGCGTCCTTTCGAAGCCGAAGTCTGTGTCTTCGTGCGGCGGAGCTGGTGGGGTAGCCGGGTCGATTGTGGCCCCCCTGGATCGTGACAATCTGTTGAATCGCAGGGAGGTGGTTGAATCTCTGCATGGAGTGAATCATTGTTGAAGCCTCGCGGAGTTCTGCTTATTTTTGTCGGCTCCAATGAATTCATGGTTTTTGGCCGGAGATTTTGATTTTGGCAGTCTTCCAAACGGTGAGACGTGAGAACTGAAGCTATGCACACTTTTAAATCAAAATTTAAAACGCATTTCTTGTTGTCCTTCCCCCCCCCGCACCTCCGATTAGCCACGGTTGGCTACGTACGGTGCGAAAGAACTTTAACATACATACACTACACTATACACTACGATACACACTACACTACATACTACACTATACACGTCGCTACACACTACACTGTACACGACTACTTTACACTACATTTACACTACGTAACAAAACACCACTATACACTACACTAAAGTTAAAACTCATTCATTTAGAGCCTGCTTTCCGTGTTTAGTTTGTTATCCTTCCCCCCGCGCACCTCCGATTAGCCACGGTGGCGCGGAATACATTCAACATACGCACGTACGTTTGTACGTATGTGCGTACATGCGTACGTACATACCATGCGGAACAGTGCTCGTCGGCGAAGAGGAACGGTCGGGTGGAACAGTTTTGTTGTGCTGACAAGTGACCCGGTCGACCACCCAAGTGGGAACGACTGGGCAGGACAAAGGCAAAGACCCCCCCCCCCCCCCCCCGTATAGCCTTGACAGACTGTTGGGGCAAGTGCTGATAGCGATCGCCTCCCGAAGGCACACGAGGGGGTGGGTGGCCGGCACCACGCCTGGCCGCCTTTGCCTCCCCAGCGGCGATGTTTACTACACACCGCACCCCAGGTACGCATTTGAGGCTGAGTCGACCTAGGGGAGGTCCAGGACTGGCTGCGATGATCGTCTCGCCGGCCGTGAGCGGGAATCGAACTCTCTGGTTGCCAGGTTGGTAGCATGGCGCGCCAACCGCTGCACGTCGGCGGATTATTTTTGGGATTTTGAAGTCTGCATCATCGTCGTCGCCATCGTCGTCATCGCGATCCATTGGGGCAGATAGCCCGGTAGGTGTCCACCGCAATCACTTGGTCGTTCCCTTGCCACTCGTCACACCGACCACCGTTTGCCGCTGCTCATTCCAATTGAATTTCCAGCCCATTGTCAATCCGCGAGTGCCGCTCGCTACCGCCGCCGCTGGCGGTCACGTGCACACTTCTTCCCCGGAGCGACGGAACACCCCCATTACGGAGGCAGCACTCCCCCACGCCTGGGCATCGCAAGTCACCGCCCTCCCGGCAAGTTTGCCGATGACGGGAAGGTGGGGGGGGCGGGGGGGGGGGCTTTCGCTGCCGGAAGCAACGTGCCTCGTTCACGACGGCGAGATCCTGACCGCGTCCGTCCACGGTCTTGTCGAGCCGCACCGGCCTCCTGTTTGCCAAGAACGAAATACGGTTGTCATGACGCACGCCAAGAGCGTGCCACACAAGAACCCGCCACTCGTCTCGTCAAGGAGGCGTGCACCGTCACGCAAGCTCCGGTCGTCCCGCGCAGCGGCGGACTTTTGCTTCCCATCGATCTGCAGGGATGGACAATGCACGCGGCGGCAGTGCCCCCCCCCCCCCCCCCCGCGGGTTCTTGGTACGCCGTGCATCTCTCTCAAGAATACAAAGAAAAGTTTTGCACGCTAAGAGAGAGAGAGCCCGCAGGGCTTTTTCAGGGAGCCAATAGGCGTCTTATTCGGGAAGGCCGGGGGAATATTGCGTCCGTCCATCCAAGGGCGACCTCGGGTTTTCACACACGCTACCACCCACCCCTGCCAAACCGTATCCACAGCGGCACGGTTACCCCTCACGCTTTTACACACGCGGAGGACCCGGAGAAAAGTCCACGCGACCAAGGGGAGAGAGACATGCAAACTCCAAATATACAGCAGGCGTTAGGGTCAGTATCAAACCCACAACCTCCTCCATAGCAGGCGATGTGGTTAACATCTTGCCACCGCCCCACCCCAGTTTTTTTCTGAAGGTGTTTTTGGCTGATTAATGAGTACTTACCTGTGGGAGGTAAACGGAGTGCCCGGAAAAAAACCCAGGCGTGCGAGGGGGAAACACTCTATCCCCATACAGGGACTCCGCCACTTACGAACGAGTTAGGTGCCAAAGGTCTGTTCGTAAGTCCGACTGTACACCTGTCAATTCCTAACACGTTGTACGGCGTGTACACTAAACACGGGGAATGGGTTTAAAAGTTGTATAATCTCCTGTAGATGTAGATATAGATACCAATGGTTCTTCACTTTCTGCAGATGTAGATACCACTGGTTTTTCACGTTCTGTAGATGTAGATGCCACTGGTTCTTCACGTTCTGCAGATGTAGATGCCACTGGTTCTTCACGTTCTGCAGATGTAGATGCCACAGGTTCTTCATGTTCGATAGATGTAGATGCCACTGGTTCTTCACGTTCCGTAGATGTAGATGCCACTGGTTCTTCACGTTCTGCAGATGTAGATGCCACTGGTTCTTCACGTTCTGCAAATGTAAATGTCACTGGTTCTTTACGTTCTGCAGATGTAGATGCCACTGGTTCTTCACGTTCTGCAGATGTAGATGCCACTGATTCTTCACGTTCTGCAGATGTAGATGCCACTGGTTCTTCATGTTCGATAGATGTAGATGCCACTGGTTCTTCACGTTCTGCAGATGTAGATGCTACTGGTTCTTCACGTTCTGTAGATGTAGATGCTACTGGTTCTTCACGTTCTGTAGATGTAGATGCTACTGGTTCTTCACGTTCTGTAGATGTAGATGCCACTGGTTCTTCACGTTCTGCAGATGTAGATGCCACTGGTTCTTCACGTTCTGCAGATGTAGATGCCACTGGTTCTTCACGTTCTCCAGATGTAGATGCCACTGGTTCTTCACGTTACGCAGATGTAGATGCCACTGGTTCTTCACGTTCTGCAGATGTAGATGCCACTGGTTCTTTATGTTCTGCAGAAGTAGATGCCACTGGTTCTTCACGTTCTGCAGATGTAGATGCCACTGGTTCTTCACGTTCTGCAGATGTAGATGCCACTGGTTCTTCACGTTCTCCAGATGTAGATGCCACTGGTTCTTCACGTTACACAGATGTAGATGCCACTGGTTCTTCACGGTCTGCAGATGTAGATGCCACCACCGCCATCTATTGCGCGGCGGTTGAACTTACGACTCTCGGTCCGGAAAGGCAACCTGGACGTTACGGGGACAGGTTTGTTCGTATCTCTGAATGTTCGTAAGTAGAGGAGAGGAGTCTCTGGATAGACGTGGGACACGTGGCGCTGTGGCGCCGCCTCCTGGCGCGCCAGAGGGCTTGCGGCGTTCAGCAACATTCACACGGCGATCCACCAACCCTGGCGGCTGCCTGCACGGTGCTGCTGGATGGCGGGCGTGTGCGTGGGTGGGCGGTTTATGATGATGTTACCCCATGCGTTTGTGTGTGGGGGAGGGGGGGTAACGAGGACGTTACACCGTGCGTGGAGGGAAGGGGTGGGTCGTGACAAGGACGTGACCCCGTGACCCCGTGTGTGGCTCCCATAGGATCGCGGCGATCGAGAGCTCCAGCAAGGAGGACGACACCAAGTGGCTCACCTACTGGGTGGTCTACGGACTCTTCTGCGTGGGGGAGTTCTTCTCCGACCTCGTTCTCTACTGGTTCCCCTTCTACTACTTCTTCAAGGTGACACGGCGGCGGGTTCTGTCGCCGCCGAACGGCGCCCATGGCATGCGCCGTCACGACCTGCGCTCCTTGACCTCCGCTCCTTGACCTTCGACATCCTGACCTGTCCCCCCTTGACTTTCGCCACCTTGACCTGTCCCCCCTTGACCTTCGCCACCTTGACCTTTGCCACCTTGACCTGTCCCATCTTGACCTGTCCCACCTTGACCTGTCCCACCTTGACCTTCGCCACCTTGACCTTCGCCACCTTGACCTTTGCCACCTTGACCTGCGCTGTTCCAACCGCCGTGCCGGGAGGTTGCACCGGCAGGCCCAGAACGCGACCCTCACGCTTGCACGCTCGCAGGTTATCCCCGTACAACAACAATAACAACAACAATAATAATAACAACAATAATAACAACAATAATAACAACAATAATAACAACAATAATAACAGTAGAGAGTAGCAGTGCCGACTAGGGGGGGGGCACGTTGCGGTCGCGAGCGCCTGACGGAGGTGGGGGGAGGGGGCTCTTAGCGGAGGACTCGGGCAAGGTGCCGTGAACCCGGCGACCAACCCCTGTGATTCCAGCCCACGGCGAGTGACTTCTGCACTGGGCTTGGGACTCCTTCCCGCCCCCCGTTTGTCTGCAGCGGTGGCTCTTCACCTGGGGGGGGGGGGGGGGGGTGAGGAGAATCTTTGGGTGCTGCCGAACACGTGGGGAGACTCAATGCAGCAACTGAGAGTGTGAATGAGTTACAAAGCGTGTACACTGCAGCAGTGGTTCGTCTTATTCCTCTTAGCCTGGGGTTGTGCGCCTCCCCCAGGGGGTGCGAGATTCCCTTTCTGGGGCGTGCCGAGTCATGGACAGATTTTTTTTTGTCTTCCCATTTCAGGTAAATAACCGAAAACGCAAATGCGTGTTTATTCACATGGAGAACCAAAGAGCTGCAAGGCTGCGGTGAAGGTTTAGGACCACTTGTCTGCACGCCCGTAATCTTCCTGCTCACCGCCAACACCGTTGATGACTATCTGAACCTGTCCTGGGCCTCCCGTAGGTCCACTCGGCCTCATGAATTGCGTAGTGCTATGTGTAAACATCGCCATTGGGGAGACAAAGGCGGCCGGGCGTGGTGTTTCCCACCCACCCCTCTCGCGTGCCGTGCCGGCCTTCATAGGCGCTCGTGAACAGCACTTGCCCCTACAGTCGGGTAAGGCTTCACTGGGTGGGTCTCTGTGTCCGTGCTCGCGTACGCACACACTCCACACCCGTGTGTGTCTGTGTAAAAACATCGCCACTGGGGGGGGGGGGGGGGGGGGTGGGGAGACAAAGACGGCCGGGCGTGGCTCTGGCGACCCACCCACCCCCCCCCACCGCATGTGCCACTGTGCCAGCCTTCGCCGGTGCTGCTCGCTGGACAGTGCTTGCCCCGGCAGTCTGTCAAGACGTGCACGGGAGGCGGGGGTGGGGTGGTGATCTTTGTCTCTGTGCGTGCGTGCAGTGTGCCTTCCTCGTGTGGTGCATGGCGCCCGTGCCGTGGAACGGCTCCGCCGTGATCTACCAGCGCATCATCCTGCCCTGGTTCCACGCCCACTCGGCTCAGGTGGACCGCGTGATAGACGACCTGAGTGGGCGGGCGCGCATGGCTGCCGACGCAGCCACGTCACGAGGTGAGGGAGGTGGGGTGGGTAGTGGGGGTAGTGGGGGGGGAGCGGCGTGCGGAATTGTGATGAAATGTGCCAGTGTGCACCTGGGTCTGTCATGTGACCTCCTGCCGGCTGCGAGCCTTCGACAATTCACGTGATAGCCTCGTGCATTTCCGTTGAACTTCTTTCGCACCGTACGTAGCCAACTGTGCGAATAGGAGGGTGGCGGCTGAGGTGTGTGTGTAAGTTGCGTGTGTGTGTGTAAGTGTGTGTGTGTGTGTAAGTTTGTGTGTGTAAGTGTGAAAGGGGCGTGGTGCTGGCCACCCACCCCTTCGTGTGCTGTGCCGGCTGTGATAGGTCCTCCCTAACAGCACTTGCCCAAACAGCCTGTTAAAGGCTATACGGGGCATCTTTTCATTTGTCTTTGCCCCTGTGAAGGTGAGAGGGTGTGTTTGATTGTCTGTGTATGTGTGAGCGCGTGAGAGCGCATGTGTCTGTGCGAGTGTGTTAGTTGCAGTCCCGTGACCTCATGCCAGCAGCGACACCTAACGTGATAGTCTTGAAGTGCACCAAGCCTGGCACAAGCTGTGGTGTGACATCCACAGCCACGTGGTGGTGATTGGCGTCGCCTGTTGTTGTTGTGGCTGTAAACATTTGCCTGCTATCACAACGGCACTGCTACGGTTTTGCCACTGCGTAACGCCAATGACGCCTGCCTGCCAATCAGCAATTAATCAGCAACTAAGCTGTGTAAAAAATGTTTTTATTGTACCAGGTAAGGCCCGCTGAGCTTATGTGGCTCTCTCGTTTAGAAGTGGACTGGCCACAAGTGATGGCCCAATCGCAAGTGGCGCATCATCATCGTGTGGGCATTTATAGCAGCAGGCAAACACTCTTTAAGTGCACGTTGATTCTAAATGTGGAGGGAAAAACCAGAGGACCTAGAGAAAAATCCAGACGACCCCAGGGAGAGACACGCAAACTCCAAATATACAGCAGCAGGCGTCAGGGTCGGGATCGAACCCACGACCTCCTGTAGATCAGGCGAGGTAGTTAACATCTCCTAGTCACCGTGATGATGATGAGAGAGAGAGAGAGACACGCAAACTCCAAATATACAGCAGGCGTCAGAGTTGTGTTTGAACCCACGACCTCCTGTATACCAGGCGTGGTAGTTAACATCTCCTAGCCACCGTGATGATGATGAGAGAGACACACAAACTCCAAATATACAGCAGGCGTTAGGGTTGGGATCGAACCCACGACCTCCTGTATACCAGGTGAGGTAGTTAACACCTCCTAGCCACCGTGATGATGATGAGAGAGACACGCAAACTCCAAATATACAGCAGGCGTCAGTGTCAGGATCGAACCCGCGACCTCCTGCATACCAGGCGAGGTAGTTAACATCTCGCGACGGTGGCAGAAGGGAGTTCTGGACCACTACGAACTTGATCCGGCATCCAGAATCGGAATCTTTATTGAGACTGCAGGCGAAATCCGATGAGCTATGAAGCTCTTTGTGACAGATGTCCAGTAGAGGGCGGGTCGTCAAGCTGCTGCGGGCATCCTCGCTGCACTCTGAGGGCGGGGGGGGGGGGGTGGCGTCGACCCGCCAACACCGCCGCGTTTTTAATCTTAGCACCGTGCTCGGGCACAGCGCCTGCACACAGCGCCCGCGTGATCAAAGTTCAGTGTCTTCCAAATCGTTTGCCCGTGTGGTCCACACCCCTGGTTTACGGAGGCGTCGGTTGTTGTTGTTTTGCGTCTGCGCCTTGCGCCTCACCCACCCCCTCCCCCACCTCCTCGTCCGTCACCCACAGCCACCTCGGCCGCCGTCGGCATCGCGACGGCGGCCTTGGACACCAAGGCCAAGAAAAGTTCGTGACTGCGACACCGCCCAGCGGGGCCGCAGAGCCGACCGATGCTGCGTTCGGCTCGACGAGGCAGCTTGAAACTTGAGGGCCCCCTCTTCCGCGGCCGCTGAATCCGGCTCGTGGGGGTGGTGCGGGGGGGGGGGGGGGGTGGGGAGTCCGTGCGGGGGTCGGGGTCAGGGGTTAATCATTTATTTGCCACTCCGTGCCACGTCGTTGGGTCGTGCCACCCGGCCGCGTGGGGGCGGCGTTGGGGGGCCGCGGCACCTCGGCACGGCTCGGTTTGTTGCGGCCAGCGCGACCTGGCGAGTTTCGGCGTTCACCGACCTGCGCTTTGGCTTTTGAGAGGGAGCAAGCGGTGATGTGGCGAGTTAGGAAGCTTCCCCACCCCCCCCCCCTCCCGGTGTTTCAGGTCTGCCACGGTTCCACACCTACATTTATTTACATCTCTCTCTCTCTCTTGCCCTTCATCTCTCTCCCTATCCATCTCTCTCTCCATCTCTCTCTCGAGAGAGAGAGATGGAGAGAGAGAGAGAGCAACAGAGGTTGGGGGGGAGATGTTTGTTGCTGTTGTGCCACACACGCACACACGCACGGTTCTGCCACACACGCACACACAAGTTCCCCCCCCCCCCCCCCCCCGTCACGAAATCCAGTCTCTCCCAGGGGCTGTAACGCCCTTCCGTCTGTTCGCGTTCATCAACGAATTCCCTCCGTCTCTTGCGATGCATTCTTACCGCGAAGTCGGTTTCGTTTCACGGTCGGGGGGGGGGGGGGGGGGGGGGGGGGGGGGGGGGAGTTTCTGGAGCGACGTCTTCACTATCACGGTCTTCTCGAATACAGGTTGAGGTGTAGCATGCTGCACGCGCGTATACAGCGGCGAGCCGAATCGAGATGCATGTGCCCGCGCTGGTACATGTGTGCGTGTGTGCGTGTGCGTGTGTGTGCGTGTGTGTGTGTGCGTGTGTGTGTGTGCGTGTGTGCGTGTGCGTGTGTGCGTGCGCGTGTGTGCGTGCGTGTGTGTGCGTGTGTGTGCGTGTGTGCGTGTGTGTGTGCGTGTGTGTGTGTGTGCGTGCGTGTGTGTGTGAGCGCCGGGAGCGGTTGCGCAGTGGTTGGCACGCTGCGCCGCGAACCTGGCCGCCCGAGTTCCATTCCCGCTCGCGGCCAACACGAGCGTTCGGTTATCGGAACTTGTCCCGGGGCTCCTCCAGGTCGGCTCGGCCTTAAATGAGTGGCAGCTCCGGTGTGTGTAGACATCAGCACTTGGGGAAGCAAAGGTGGCCGAGCAAAGGTAGCGGCCACACCACTCCTCTTTTTTGCGCACCCTGCCGGCCCGTAGAGGCGCTCGCTTGCAGCACTTGCCCCCTACAGTTTGTCGAGGCTACACGGGGGATCTTCGTCTTTGTTCCTCATGACGTAGAGAGATCCGATTCAACTGGGGCAAGCGTCCTTGGGCTCGTGCGTGTGTGCTACACAGCTCTACATGATGTGGGACGCGTTCAGCATCGGGTGCATCACGACATGGCGCGTCATGGAACGGTGAAGATTTGTAAAACGTGGGAAAAGGCGGATCGCAGAGAGAGGTTCTGTTGTGTTCAACTCTGGCTTCAAATGTTCCTGCTCAGCCAGGAAACCATCTCGATAGCCCGCACTGAATGGCGCTGCTGTGGCCGTGGGGTGATTGCCGTTGTGTCGGAGTAGTTCAGCTGCCCTACCGTTTAACCCCTAAGAATATCAACAGAGGCGCAGTTGGGAAAGTTATCTTACGTTTCTCGCCCCCGCCCCCCTCCCGTTCACGAACGAAGGATTGTGGCGCTGTCCTTTCCAAACACTTGGTCAGGCGCCTGCGGATGACGTGACCGTCGCTTGCCTGGGGCGCGTAATTTAAGAGTCGGTGGGGATTAGTTTATAATTTATCGTTGAATAAAAGTTGATCCAAGCAAAAAAAAAAACGCGTGTACGTTGTCGGTTCATTACGTTTGAGAAGGTTTCGCGTTTTGTTTTTTTCCCGTCCTGGAGCAGTGCTTCTCGACCTGTTTGTGGGCCACTACCCCAGACCCCCTGCCCGACCCCCAACACGGGTTTCGAGAATTACATTTACGAATGAATGAACGTCGATGTTTTAACCAATTGTCCCATTTGCCTTACCTACACTTACTTCACCTGGAATGGTACTTTCTACAGACAAAATGAAGGTACCCCCATGGGTTCCCCCTTATCGCCAGTGATAGCGAATGTTTTCATGGAGAAATTTGAAACAGATGCCAGCCAGACATCCACCCTACGTCCTTCTTTGTGGAAGAGATGTGTTGATGACACTTTCGTTATTTGGCCACATGGCCTGCCAGCATTGAACCAATTTCTCAACCACATAAATTCCATACACCCATCCATCAAATTCACCATGGAAGTAGAGAAGGATGGTAAGCTACCATTCCTGAATGTTTTGTTTGAGAAGAGACCTGATGGCTCCTTGGGACACTCCGTCTACAGGAAAGCCACCCACACAGATTCCTATGTGAAACCTGATTCCCACCACCATACGGCACAGAAGAATTCCCTCATCAAAACACTGCACCATAGGGCCCACTTCATTTCTGACCAACACCACCTAGCCAGTGAATTAGTACATGTACACTGGGCCCTTAAGATGAATGGATATTCTGACTGTACTATCCGCAAAGCTGTTTCTCCAACCATGGAGAAACAACCCCCTGAGACTCCGATCAAAACCATCACGTTGCCATACATAGCAGGCGTTACCAAAAATATTTCTAAAATCTTAAACACAAGATCCAGGTCCGATTCGGTAAAGTACACAAAATCCGTGATCTAATCCCATCTGTCAAGGATGTCATTCCTGACATGCAATATCCTGGAGTCTAAAAATTAAGTTGCACCTGTGGTGGCTGTTACATTGGGGAAACGAAACGAGATACCTCGGACCGTGTTCGTGAGCACAAGGCAGACCTGAAACACGGCAGAACCAATACCTCTGCCGTGGCTGACCATTGCTATAACGCTGTGAGTTCTCGTGATATTGTTTTTTCCGAGACCAAGGTGCTCTGCAAACCTTCGGGCTACTATCAAAGGTGTGTGCATGAAGCCATCCAGATATATAAACATAGACTTAACTTCAACCGGGAAGATGGATACAAACTGAGCAATCATTGGAAGGACGTTATTAGCCAAGTAAAGTATTAACTAACTGTGATGTTGCCATCCTACCTGCCTATCTCAGCTGTTATTTCCGACTCTCCGAGTACATCACCAGGCTCAATATCTGAGGCAGCCCAGGGACAGGATCCCCTCTACTTCCGGTGGCTGGGGACCTCACATTGACATGCTAATCTCTCACGTTTACATTTACGTACAGATTTTTTCTCTAGCTCCGCACACTTAGCCTTGGGATGAGCCCACCAAAATCCGATATGAACTCTTGTTGCAGCAGCAGCTCTTTCTCCGATGTCAGCAGTCCCCCTGTTGTATCTGTCCCGCCTGATGACGGTCGCTTGTGTTGCGATCGAAACGTGATTTAATTTATTTTAATTTATACCCACGTGACTTCAAATATAGATTCAAATCTCGATTGTCCCAATTTGTGAGCTATATATCCCAGCTAGCTAAGTATCTGCAAGCGGATGAAAATGCAAATCAACGGCGAGCTCGCTGGTGACTCTTGTAAACCAACATTGTTTACGATCTGGCATACAGGCTCCAAGTCGATGTACATCGGCCTGAGCCTCCCTTAAATCCACGTGACTTTAAGGTAGGCAGGCCCACTCAGAGTCCCTCCCCCAGCCACCACCCACTGTGGAAACACTGTGCTCTGTACAGCACCAGCGTCGTGGCCCGTGGTGGCTAGGAGATGTTAACTCCCTCGCCTGGTATGCAGGAGGTCGTGGGTTCGATCCGGACCCTTACGCCTGCTTTATATTTGGAGTTTGCGTATCTCTCTCGTCATCACGGTGGCTAGGAGATGTTAACTACCTCGCCTGGTTTACAGGAGGTCGTGGGTTCGATCCGGACCCTGACGCCTGCTGTGTATTTGGAGTTTGCGTCTCTCTCTCCCGGTGGTCCTAAGGTTTTTTCCCTCCACATTTAGAAACATGCGTTTAGATGATGATGTCGCTCTACATATCCACACGCTGCTACGCCGCTCCGTTGAGCTATCACTTCTACCCCGGTCGCTTCTATGAAAGAGCTAATATAGCTCAGTGGGCTTTACCTGTTAAGGTAAAATTATTTTAGTTTCATTTGTATATTTTTCAAACTAACTTGTTTACCTTTTCGAAACTCTGCACTCCTATGGTGTTTGTGTACTGTTGTAACGTTCTGACCTGCCCCCTAACCGTAACATCCGTGAGCAAGAGCTTCATAGCTCATCGGATTCCTCCTGCAGTACGAATAAATATTCTGATTCTGGTTCACTGGGTTGGTGCACATTTCCGAGTCGGAGATATTGCGTGATGGCAGCGGACAGTAGCGACGATGCCACTGCTGCTACTGCTCACCACGACGAGAGAGAGAGACACGGACAGAGAGAGACACGGACAGAGTTCGTGTCTCTCTCTCTCTACGACGAGAGAGATAGAGACACGGACAGAGAGAGACACGGACAGAGTTCGTGTCTCTCTCTCTCTCGCTACGACGAGAGAGAGAGAGAGACACGGACAGAGAGAGACACGGACAGAGTTCGTCTCTCTCTCTCTCGCTACGACGAGAGAGAGAGACACGGACAGAGAGAGACACGGACAGAGTTCGTCTCTCTCTCTCTCTCGCTACGACGAGAGAGAGAGAGACACGGACAGAGTTCGTGTCTCTCTCTCTCTCTCGCCACGACGAGAGAGAGAGACACGGACAGAGAGAGACACGGACAGAGAGAGACACGGACAGAGAGAGACACGGACAGAGAGAGACACGGACAGAGAGAGACACGGACAGAGTTCGTCTCTCTCTCTCTCTCGCCACGACGAGAGAGAGAGAGAGAGACACACGGACAGAGTTCGTGTCGTGTCGCTTGTTCCTCCTCCGTCGAAGTTGCTTACTCTACACTCCATAGTTTTGTTTACATGGCCACAATCGTGCCACTGTGGCATGTCTTTAATTTACACTTGCGTGTCTTTGTGGGTCTCTATGCATCTCTATGGGTCTCTATATATACTGTATATATCCCTGTTGGTTTCTATGTATCTCAGTGCATCTCGATGGGTCTCTATGGGTCTGTATATATATCTTTATTTGTTTATATGTATCTCTATGTCTCTTTGGGTCTCTATGTATCTGTACGTGTCTCTACGGGTCTTTATATATCTCTGACGGTCTCTGGGTCTCTATGGGTCCACTATATGGCCCATAGCTTGTGTTGCATGACCACATTCGCATCGCCATGGCGAGCTCTCTTTAATTTCCCGTTCACGAAAGAGGTGTGCGCATCGGGCTGTCGGCGATGTCCTGACGAGGCGATCGATGGTCCTACCACCACCACCAGGAGGAGGAGGAGGAGGAATGTCAAAGCCAAGAGGAGGTGGTGC